TGGAATGATGTAAAAACGAGCGTTCTTGCTCATTTTGCTTCCGAGAAACATGCAAAACGGGACGGAAAACATTAAATTTTGCAATAATCTTACGCTCTTGCACAAAACGACGATAATTTTTCTAATTTCATAAACAACAGAAGACTGTATTTTTTCTACATAACCCCCCCCCTGAAACTGTTTTTAACTTGGGGCATTTTCTTGTTACCTGGAAATGTATTTCTGGATATCGTTGCCATAAATGGGCGTCATTGTCATTGGCACTGGTTCAGTTGTCGACAGCCAGAAGCTGTAGTCGTTAGTGTTGGCGTAGTTGCAAACGTCCTCCAAATTGCAGAACAAATAAGGCATTGTGCTGAATCTGCGAACGCAGCTACCAGGGGCGCCTGATGAATCAAAAAAGCTGTAGCTGTTGAGGTCAGTTTATATACGTTCTTACCCAGATCTTGTCCATGAGTGCGCTTTTCGCTGTGGACGTGCAGTAAAGAGAAGCCATCCCACAGCTTGATGGTGCCTCTGGGGCAAACTGGAATAATTTCCGCCTGCGAATGCCTCACCACAGCAAAACCGCGACTTTGAGGTAACGGAGCGGGTTCAGCGGCGTCTCCTTTAGGCCCTTGTCGTCCTGGCCGTCCTCTCAAGCCGTCCCTGCCCCGAAGTCCCGGCATTCCCGGAAGCCCTACGGTTGAAACAATCGTTGAATTGTCCTGGATTGTTTGCAAACGTTTCACCTTTGGGTCCATCAAAGCCTGGCAGCCCAGGTTCCCCAACATCTCCGATGGAGCCTGTAAGTCCTGCACTTCCCGGATATCCCACACGGCCTTCAATACCGGGTAGTCCTAGACGTCCTGGTATTCCGGGCAAACCTGCATCTCCTTCCTGGTTTAATTAAGTAAAAATTTGCGTTTAGTATTTGTGAATTTGAAAATATATGCAAAGGCTTAAAGTAGCAATAAAAAAGATACTTAAAAGTAACGAAAAAAAAGTAAACTAACCTCTCCAATAGACCCATCATATCCCCAATCTCCCACGATTCCTTTGACTCCAACGAAGCCCTGTACACCAACGAATCCCCTTAGGCCAACGTCTCCTTTGAGGCCAATCTCCCCAGGGAAGCCTGGTGGGCCTTCCAGCCCATCTAAACCATCATCTCCCGGTTCGCCTTTTTCTCCGTTGAAACCTCTAGCTCCTAATCACATATGAATTCAGGATGTTATTGAGAAGAAAATCTCACTAGGGAATAAAGGGCACTTTTTACACATCCAGGACTTCCCCAACGCACCTGCGAAACCGATGTCTCCTGGCTGTCCTTTAAAAGCGCTGGCGCCAAATCCAGGTTCGCCAATTTTTCCTTTAAGGCCTGCCGGTCCCGGCAGACCGTCATCGCCTGGTCGTCCTTCGGGACCGAAGGATCCCCTGTCTCCATCAAAACCAGCATCGCCCAACTCTCCTTTGATTCCTTGGATGGAAAGGCCTGGGGGACCTCGTTGTCCGCTCAGACCATCCGGCCCCAACTCTCCTACGATTAGTCGCAGGTAGGGTTTCTCCAAATAGGGCTGTTGGGTGCTCGGGTTTACCTGGAGCGCCCTTCTGGCCTAATCTGCCTGGTCGGCCCGCATGGGCATCTTCACCAGGTGTTCCAGGTTCTCCACGCTCGGGATTTTGGCCCGGCAATCCAGGCGGGCCGTCTACTCCAGCATCGCCGGGGAGTCCAGGACGGCCTGATGTTCCCGCGTCTCCCTCTATTCCTTTGTCGCCAATTCGGCCTTGGCCGCCCCTTGAGCCTGGCCATCCCACGACTCCCGTGTCACCCGGTTGTCCCTTGCGGCCTGAAATATCCATTGAAAATAGTCCGGAACAGGTGTAGTTCTTGGGTGTTTACCAGTTAAGCCAAACATGCCAAAATTGCCAATGTCTCCTTTCTCAGCAAAGCCGGGCAAGGTTATTCCAGGCGGCCCGCGGTTGCCCTTCAGACCTTTAGGTCCGAAGGGGCCTATCGGCCCCATGCCTCCATCTGGGCCAGGTTGTCCAGGAAGACCGATGAATCCGGGATCGCCCTCCATTCCACCTTCTCCTTTGCTGCCCGAATATCCGGGTGTTCCCACTTCACCCCGGTTGCCTCTTGGACCTATGGATATAAAATTTCTAGTATTTAAGCGGCGATTTTTAGGGAAAGTTTACCAGTTAATCCGTTTAGTCCCGGTCGACCAAAGGGGCCTGGGAATCCTTCATCGCCTATTAGACCCTGAGCGCCTGCAGTTCCCGGCTCCCCAATTTCTCCCTTAAATCCGAAACCTCCCGGAAGACCCGGAATTCCCGGTTCTCCCTTCAAACCACGTTGGCCTGGGGATCCAACCCCTGTCACCCCGACATCACCTAGGATGCCTTGGAAAAAAATGTTATTTTTGAGAGGAAATTGATCGTTGCAGCAAAATACCTTTCATGCCTGGTAGTCCAGGTTTCCCATCAAAACCTGGTAAGCCCCTAACGCCAAAATCGCCCTGCTCTCCCTTTTGTCCGCTGAATGTTGATTCCCCTTTAGCGCCTCTAAGTCCAGGTAATCCCGACTCTCCCATAAGGCCCGTTTCGCCTGGCTCGCCCTAAACCGACACATTTTTGAATTTCCGGTTTCCACTTGCAAATCAGTCCTTACCGGCAGGCCAGAAAAGCCATCTGGACCGGCATTTCCTCGCAACCCTTTGTAACCTCTTGGTCCCAGCAAGCCTTTAGGGCCGGAGGGTCCAGCAGGACCAGGGTATCCAATGTCGCCCCGCTCTCCAAAGTCTCCCATCGGACCTTCCAGCCCCTGCAATCCGTCAAATCCGCGCAAGCCCGGATTGCCTTCAGCCCCTGTTTCGGAAACCCTGTTAAAGAACAGATCTCGAGCTTCAAACACTGTTATCCACCTGGCAGGCCTTGGAAACCGATGTCTCCGATATCTCCTTTAACTCCTGGCAGCCCATTGATTCCAAGGTCACCGTCATCTCCTTTCATGCCAAAATCGCCCCAGTCACCGAGTTCTCCAACATCGCCCGGTTGGCCAGTGAGACCCGGTGGGCCTTGCCTGAAGGCACCAATTTGTCCTTTAATACCCGCAGATCCCGGTAAACCTGCATATCCTGGAGCTCCTTTCGATCCTAGCGGGATTTTGAGAGGAACCTGTATATTTTTCATATCAGGGAAATCGATCGAAGATCTACCTTTCCCGCCTTTGAGTCCTGGTTGTCCGGGAATACCGGCATGCCCAATAGGGCCATCGTATCCAGGCTCGCCTTTCATACCGGTAGGTCCAGGGAGACCCATTTCACCATAAAGGATTTTTTGGCCGGGTTCCCCGCGATCTCCTTTGATTCCCCAGGATCCAGGGATACCATTAAGGCCTGGTTGACCTGGCTCGCCAGGGATACCACGCGGACCTTCATCGCCAATAATTCCTGGATATCCTTTCAGTCCTTCTGGACCTGGTATGGACGGCCCTACTGGTCCTGGGTCTCCCATGGGACCAGGCCACCCAAAATCGCCTCGTTGCCCTTTTGATCCATTCAAGCCATTGTAACCTGAAAGGAAAAACGCATTTGTTTTCAATTGCCGTAGGGCTGAAATTGGCTGAACTTACCTGAATCTCCTTCTGGGCCTTGCGGCCCTGGATCGCCCCTGATGTCCGTGAAATTTTCTATCTCTCCATCTTTGCCAGGAGCACCGGTGGCTCCTCTTTCTCCTTTTGGTCCCCTGCAAGTTGGGACGGGTAAAATTTGACTAGTTCTAAGGGCGGATTCGTACTTATATCCTTTGAAGCCAGTATCTCCGACTAGGAACTCCTTTGGAATGGCGTGTCGGTCACCTTTAACGCCGTTGACGCCCGGTTGTCCAGGTATACCATCAGTACCAGGCAAGCCGGCTTCTCCATTGTCACCAGGAGGTCCTGGATAGCCTTTAGGACCGCGATCTCCCAAAGGACCTTGAAAGCCAGTTTCTCCAATCGGACCCATGGGTCCCGGAAATCCAGTGAATCCAGGTTCACCTGGAAAAATTGTTTTAGTCCAGCGCGTGTCCGAGTTTTTTAAAACATTCTCATGTGTATCAAACACGTACCTAGGTCGGGTACCGTTGCACTGAAAGGAGGTTGAACCAGGATCCCGTCTGTACCTGCAGGTCCTTGTCTTCCTGTTTCTCCAGGTTGTCCCGGCGTCCCATCCAAACCGTTCAAACCAGGAGGTCCAGGCTTTCCAGGAAACCCGGTTGCTCCCCTTTCACCAGCAAGTCCTTCGTATCCAATGGGACCTGGACGCCCATGTCTTCCAGGTTCCCCACTGTCTCCTTTTGCCCCCGGGCGGCCTGATTAACGACTCGGATTAGCTTTCGTAGTTGTGGGAGCTTTATTTTGGGTTTACCTGGCCGACAAACGCCGCAGTCATCGCCTCTTCTGCCCTTCATTCCAGGCAGGCCATAAAAACCGGGCACTCCATCGTCTCCGACCAGGCCGGGGCGTCCACGTGGACCCAAATATCCTTTAGGTCCTTTAATCGCTGGCCCAATGCCTGTACGAATAAAATTGAGGTCTCCGCTTTTTATGATTGAGTGGTTGGTTATACCTGGAAATCCTTTAAATCCTCTATCGCCAGGGTCACCTCGGTCTCCTGGTGGTCCATCGAAACCGCCGAAACCAGGCACTCCCGATGGGCCTTGAGGCCCGATCACTGTTTCTCCTTTCATTCCTTTTTCACCAGCTAAACCCGTTGGTCCGGTAATCCCGGGAAGTCCAGATCGGCCTGGAGCACCAGGTGGGCCATCATCACCCCGTTCGCCCTTTATGGATATTCCTGAACAATCAATCAATTGGTTAGATTCTGAGGTTCAGTGTAGGAACTTTTGCCTAAAATAATTCWWTCACTCATCTACGTTTGAACTCCAGTGAGTCAAAAACAAACAWTGAAGCRCSTAAKCGACGGATCCAAAAAAAAGWAGGCTTCGGCCTTGATTTTGTTAGTACCTTTTATTCCAGGAAAGCCCATTTGGCCCGGCGGTCCTGGCATTCCAGGAGGTCCAATCGGGCCAGAATGCCCAGGGTTGCCAGGCAGGCCGGAAAGACCTTGTAGGCCTATATAGCCAGTTGGGCCCTGTCTCCCTTCAGCCCCTTCGATTATTTCATCCAGGAACGGGTCGTATAGACCCGGGGATCCTTCTCTGCCTTGTTCTCCAGGAGTGCCTGGTTGTCCGTCTTCTCCTCTCTCACCTATAACATGGAATATGGTCGGAATTGGTGCCCCTGTATATGTTTAAATGGTTTTCCTACCTGCGAATCCGTCAATTCCAGGAGTTCCTTCGTAGCCCGGCGCCCCCTTATATCCCTTCTCTCCTGATTGGCCAGGAGGGCCGGATCTGCCTTGTTTGCCTGGCGGGCCGTCATCGCCACGTTCGCCCTTGTAACCTGTCGCCCCTTTAAGTCCGGATAGGCCCTAAGGAGCCGTAATGTTAACGGTTTTCATAGTTGGAGTGTGAGTTTACGTACAGGTCTACCTCTTTCTCCCACGTAGCCTTTGGAGCCTGTTTCGCCTTGGTCGCCTTTAAAGCCTTTGTCTCCTGGTTGGCCTTTCAGCAACTGCATGTCAGCTCCTCCTTGTTCTTGGTTGCCGGTGTTGATTCCAGGCCCTCCCGGACTTCCTTGATCACCGGATTGCCCTTTCAGACCTTTTTCGCCCTTGCGGTAGTCGCCTGTATCTCCGCGAGGTCCCATTGGACCTTGGGGCCCCACTAGACCCTGCAATGATTTAAACATGGCCAACCTGGAACCGTTTTCTGAAGCGCCCTACCTGAGCTCCGGGCGCTCCTTGATATCCACGCAACCCTGCTGGGCCTACAGGGCCATCCAGACCGGGAAGCCCGTTGTATCCGAATTCTCCCCAATCTCCTTTGGTTCCAATGGAATTGCCGCCGCCTTCTCCCGGTTCGCCTCTTAGACCTTGATCGCCCTCAAGCCCAAGCGGCCCACGAATCCCTGGATATCCTCTGGTTCCTGTCGGCAGTAAAGAGTTAGTGAGTGTTTTGAATGAGGATGAGGGGTTTGGGTACCATCAGGTCCAGGCCTTCCATCAGTGCCGTTACAACCGTCCAATCCTTCGGGGCCTGCAGTTCCAACGTCCCCAGTTGGGCCCTTAAATATTGTTGTTTGAATTCAAGCTGTTTGTGGACGAGCGCTACTCGAAATTTATTATTAACCATATTCTAGTAAGTTTTGATGTTGTTAGTCTATTCACTAACGTTCCTGTTGATAAAACTTTAAATATCATCGAACAAAAATTACAGAATGACACCAATCTTAAAGAACGCACACAACTAAGCATTAACACCATTATTGAACTTTTAACCATATGTGTAAAGTCAACTTACTTTCAATACAATGACAATTTTTATCAACAAAATTTTGGAATGGCTATGGGGTCTCCACTATCCCCATTTTTCAGTAATTTATTTATGGAAAATGTTGAATCAACTTTCATTAATAATTACAAATTTAAACCAATAATTTGGTGGCGTTATATTGATGACGGATTCTCCATTTACAGTCATGGCGAACAAAAACTTGATGAATTTTTATATTATCTGAATAATAAAGAACCAACAATTAAATTCACTATTGAAAAAGAACAAAATCACCAAATTCCTTTTCTCGATATACTAATTCAGTAAAATTTAGACAATTTCGAAACTCATACTAACCGATATTTGAATTTCGACTCAAATCACCCGATAATGGTTAAAAAAATATCGTAAAAAGTCTATATGATAGAGCAAAAATAATTTGTGATCAATCTAATTTTTCCAAAGAAAAACAATTTATAAAAGAAATTCTAGATTTCAATAATTATCCAAATTCTTTTATTGAAAAATGTTTTAGCGAAAATGAATTCCCACGAACAAAACAAAATCAAAATAAACCTATTACGAACCTTTTCATTCCATTTATTCCAGGACTTTCAGATCAAATTAAACGAGTAG